CAATTTAGACATCACTAATTGTAGGAAGCTTTTCTCTAACGCTTCCCCCCACACTCTGATCACAGTCAGTTTGCCTGTTCCGGCTCCTGTGGTTCTTACCACGTCTCGGATCTATCAGTGTTTTGCCTTTTCCTGGTACTTATCTCTCTTCCCTATTAGGACTTTACTCCCTGAGGGCTGTCCTTTACAAACCGCTAAGTCCCCAATTAACCCAGTGAATAGAACCATGGGAGATGCTCAAAACATCTCTCTAAAATAAATTACAGAAGAAATAACTTCTGAATGAGGACACATGATTGAAGGCCAGACAGAGTCCCCATCGGTTTGTTTGACATGGCAAGGGCCACTCACATATGGCCAGGAGATGGATCCTGGGAGCTCTGATTCTCACGATCTTGTGTTGGCCAAGGACACATTTGGCATTCGCGTCTAGCACAGAGCATGCTTCAAAACGTCGAGACACAAAGGAAATCCATCCCATAGACCTGGTGGCGTGGGACACACATGGTCTTTATCAGTTCTTATGTTCTAAGATGAAGATTCTTTTGGAGACAGGGAAGTGGGAAGCACTTGCCAAGCACTTGGTAGCACTGTGACACTAGAAAAGTCACCTCTCTTCTTGGTACCCCAGATCCCACATGTATCCAAAGGCCATGGTAATGACCAGCCTGCCTCCTCTCTCAGGATGTTGTGCTTCAGAAGAGACAAAGAACACAGACGCTTGGGAATGCAGAAGCTGAGAGTGACTTTCGTGAGCTTTGTGGCATGTTTGCTCATGCATTTTTATGTTCAGTTTGGATTCTGACTCTTGGTCGACTCACGGAATCGAGAGTAGTATTTTTAGTACACATTCTTGGATTCTGAAGAAGGAACCAAGCTGAGTATATTGACTTGTCAAGTTTGCAAAGAAAGAGGTGAGTAAGTAGCGAAGTACCATCAGACCAAGTCTTGCTGGAAGGAATGGTCTGATGAACAGGGCAAAAAGTAAAAAAGTAAATTGTGTCAAGATTCAGATGCGCCAGACTAAGGAACTGTGGCTTGTTCTTTAGACTCCCTGAAATACTGGCGGCCTTTGAGCCTGCAAAGTGACCTGATAAAGTGATTTTTTTTTTTAGATTGGCTTTTGTGAAACAGATTCAGTCGTGGTCACCCCCTTGCTCAAAATTTTTCACTAACTTCTAGTTACCCTCAGCAAGACTTTCCAAACAGTGTGGCACACATGGGTAACAGATGTGCCAAAATAGTGATCCCCTCAGCCATGGGGGCCCCTGGACAGGACGTAGGGCAACTAGAACCCCTATATCAGCCCTTCCAGCCACAAGCCCTTCTGGCCACAAGCAGCTTCCTCCATATCTTCCAGTGGTTTATAAGGCTATCCTTTTCTATTTAGGAAATGACATGAAAATGGTTGGAATGTACCTCTTTTGCCCAAATACAAGTCCCTTTTCCATCCATTCCCAGCTCACTTGTTCAGGCTCAAACTGGCATTTGCCCCCAGAGCGTTCTATTTAGACTGCCTGGCATCACACACTGTAGCTCCTGCATACCACAATTTTGTCACGCTGCCTTTGTCCACGTTATTTCCTCAGACGCCCCGACCTTGTCTGCCTGACCAAATCCTAGCTCAGCCTGACCTAGGCCTTCCTCCTCTCTGTCCCCTTAATAACCAGTGTGCATGCTCAGTATTTGCAGGCATCTCATTGAATCGTAATGGTTTGCATGTCTTCCACCAGAGTGCCCAGCAAGGATCGCAAGTTACACATCCAGTAGATAGATGCCGAATTACTATTGTGACTATCACCCACGGGATTAGGAAGAGTGGGGAAGAAACAGCAGCACAAGTCTGTTTCGGTTTGTTTGTTCGTAATAGATGCTCAGTAAATAACTGCTGAATGAATGAGTGAACGAAGACATGCGAATGCCCTTTTAAATGTAGAATCTCTGAGATTCGGTGATGGCTTGAATGCAGTAGAGAAGGAAGATGGAGTGATTCTAAATGTTTCAAGACAAGTAGCACCGTCAACACAGCAGCCCTCACACAGCTTTGGAGGCTGTGTCCCAGCCAAGCTCTCATGCCCAACAGAACACGTGCCCAGTGAACTGGGATCAGGATGTGTATTACAGCGTTGTTTATAATAGCTTCGGTCAGGGAATACATAAATTATGTGATATTTATATAATGAATAAAGCGATTACAATGAATCAACTACATAATAAAATCTTAGCATGGTTAAATCTTAAAGACATAATGTTGAGTGAGAAGGTAAATATGTATGGGGAATAAAAGTATAAAAATATGCATGAAAAGAGAGCCCAACCTCCTCAAGAACCTGGTTACCCTGGCGGAAGGGGCTAGGATGAGATAGAGGAGCTTTTGATTTGCCTGTAATGTTTTCTTATTAACAGCAAATGTGGCAACATATCAATTAGTGTTTATCGTATCGGGGTGGTAGGTACTTGTTATATTAGTGTCTGTACTTTTCTGTAGGTTTGAAGTATTCATACTTTCAAAAATTAAATTAAAATGACACAAAAGCAAAGGCTGGGTAACTGGGAGAATGATTCGCGTTTCTGTATTTAGCCTTTCGTTCACTCCTGCCCCTTTTCAACTAGCCTGTCACACAGGGTGGAATCACATCTGCCACGTAGGACTCACCAAGTCTTAACGCCATTTTAAAGCATCCGTTCTCACTTCAGTCTTCAGAGATGGATAGATCTACCATCGACCTCGTCAGAGGCTTCAAAATCTGCATTAATATTTTTCACCATTGTTCATAGCTTCTACCACCACCCCTCATCGTTTCTATATATTGGAGCATCTACCCAACCTAATGAGAACTAGTTTCTGCAATAGGATTAATGAAATTCTCTTTCACATGTTCGAAATCTATTTTCTTGAATCCATCACTCTATTCTCTTGTTTTGTAACTTTGTAAAATTTTTCCCCCCTTCTCTCCAAAAGAAGTAATCAAATAACATGCTTGTGGTGACTTTTACTATTTCTAAAATTGCTTTTGTGTTTGGGGAACAATTTTGGTGTGCTGGAGCTAGCTCACACTGACTCAGGAGGGCCAGGTGTGCACATTTCTTTCCAACTGGCTTCCAGTGACATCACGTTGGTAGCTTGAAATCTGCCGTGATGGGAGTATTTACACCATGGGAATGGGCAAATGCGACAAATCTGTTTTTGTTTTTGTTTTCACCTGGAGAGCTGCTGATTAAACATTCACCAGCCTACCGCTAGGGTGCATGACAGTGTTCTGAGTCGTGCAGGGCAAGTAGCAGTTTCTTCACTTTACACATGTAAAAACCAAAAGTCAAAAAAGGAAGAAGTCTTTGGCCTGAGTCACAGG